ATTTTGGTTTTTTTTTTTTTTTTTTTGGAGGGGTAGTTAGTTCTTCTTTCAATACACAATTTCTTGAAATTGTCACATGACTTTTTGATAGCCAGGCTTTTCCTGTCATGGCTTACTTTTTGTGGTGATTTCACAGCACTTCTTCCTCTTCTCCGCAGACGCTTACCCAGTTCCTCTTCAGAATTAATCACTGTCTTATTTGTCAATAGGTGTGGTAGCGTTATCAGAATCCACCCAGTGCTTTTCTGAAGGCTGGGGCCTCAGATCTCATGTCTTGGGGTCCCCCTTGGATGTTTTAGAACACGCTTTCGCTCACCGTGTGAAGTATGATCACAGCGTTTCGTGACTGAAATGACTCGTTAGTCCTGAGGTTTCCAGCGTTTCTCAAGGAAAACAATAAAGAGAAATTAGGTGTTGCGTCGTCACTGTAACATCTCAACCGAGCAACTCTGAGGAATCGTTTGCTTAAGAAGCAGTGAAGGCAGGAACACTATTGAGGCTTTAAAAAAATAGACTAGATACATGAGATACTTCTAAGTGGTGGTACAAGGAGCACCGTTGATGTCTACTGAGGTTTTTCTGAAGGAAACTGCAGCAAATCCTTGGATCTGTTGTTTAATCTGGTAGCAAAGGTATTCCTAACCAAGAGTGCTAATTCTGAGTGTTCGCTGGCGCTAGGAAGTGCTGCTTCGGATCAGTGTGGACTGTGGAGTGTGCATGCCCCTTATGTAGGGCCTTGGAGATGGGGTTGGTAGCATGACTAGGCTATGTAAGTTTTATTGATGAATTTCTAGAAACCAAGAGTTTCCAAAACAAGACTCTCAAAGGCTCTGAAAACGCTACTTAGACACTACTTATTAACTTTTTACTCAGAAATGAATGAGCCAGAAATTTACTACATATATTTTATTTATACTTACGTTTATTGTATGGTGCCTTGTGTTTGTCAATATCTGCGCATGAAACACGAAACATACTCATATAGTCTTTGGGAATTACAGAAAGTACCAGAAGCTTCTTGTCTCCACATCACGGTTGTTTTCCAATACTCATTTTTCAGTAATTGGAATTCATTTCTATATGCTGGTAATTTGATAAACTGTTTTGAAATGTATTTGTTGAGCTCAGTGTCAGTCCATGTGCCTCTAATGAAAGGCATGTGACCCAGCAGATTAGAAGAAAGGTCTGTGGTTGGCTCCCACAGAGACCTTGCTGTTCCTTTTGGGCAATCTTTAACCTGGCACCGTCTCATGTGTTTGCTACGATAGAGTTTTCCGAAATTTAAATAATGTCACATTTGAAAGGATGCCAAGAAACAAGTGCGGCGGTTTCTAAATTTTGTGAAGCTGAAATTCCTGGTTACGAGAACGAGTACATGTCACAGATGAGTAGTTCGTAATGACTTCAGGGTAGCAGGAAAAGAGCAATTCCCATATGTTGATTCTAGTCTCCTGGTAAAGAATGTTATAGGAAGATGGCAGCGTCTTTAACAAGCTGTGAGTTAATGCGGCAGTCTCAGTGGATCCAGTTCCAGAAGGATAAATCACTTTACCATATTTCCTCAAAAATATTTGAAGTTAGACTGCAAAACAGAAAACTTGCTGGGAATGAATGCCGACTATGCGGTACTGCTTCTCCCTACCTGCAGACAGACAGTCACCCCCAGTCTCTTTCAACAGGGCATTTGCTCTGGGGTGCTTGTGCGATTCCCAGATGCTTGGATGAGTTCGCAATGCTCTTTGTCAGACTCAGCCTCCAAGGTTTATCTCCTGTAGATGAAGGAGGGCATCCATGAGTGCTACCTTCCAGACGAGCTACTGGGATGTTGTAGTAATGCATGGTATTTTTCCTCACCGAGAACCTGTCACAGTTCATATATGGTCTGCATCGTCAGCATCAGTGGGTGTGTTGGCATTCACGAAGCTAAAGTTTTCAGTCCTGTACAAACAGAGGTGGCAGGCCTGGATAGTTTGTTAGATCTGGGCAACTAACTCTTTTCATGTGAGCACTCTGATTTCCTTGTCCCCATGAAATCTAGAAAACATGAGGGAGTTAATATATGACTAGTATTACTTGTAGTACTGGGGACTGAACCTAGATTCTTACTCATGCTAGTTAAAATGCTCAGCCACTGAGCTGTATCCCCAACCCATTTTTTTCTAATATCATTTTATTTTTTTGAGACAAGATTTATTAAGTATCCGCAGCTGATCTTGGATTTTCAGCTTCAGACTCATGAGGTTGGGATTCCAAAACTGTGCCATTGGACCCTACTCAAGATTTTTCTATTTGTTTTGATTATTATTATTATTATTATTTTTTGAGAAAGGATCTTGCTTAAACATCCTAGGCTAGCCTCAAATCCATGCTGTAGCCCAAGCTGGCCTTGAATTTGTAGAAGTCCGTCTGCCTGCTTCAGTCCCTGGAGTACG